GTCAAAGCAGCTCAATAGACCCCTTGCATGTGATGTCAAAGCAGCTCAATAGACCCCTTGCATGTGATGTCAAAGCAGCTCAATCTGAAGGACAAAACAAAAGAATTCCAATCTCATAAAAATTGGAACCTATCGTTTTGTTCTTTAGATGGAGCTATATTTCAAAGTGCTGCAAGGGGTCTATTCTTTTTATTACCTCTTTTATTCCTTATGAAGATTTACTATCCAGACGATCTCGCCTCGAAACGCGCAAAGGATCATTTGTCAAACCGAACAGCTCCTAATACCCAGTCTCCTATTTCATAATATCTCACGGTATTCAAAATGGCGGCAAGTGACTTATTTAGTGACTATTACAACAGAGATTTTTCTTACTTTTATTGCATTTATGTTTTGTTTTTATTAATATTAATTGCTGATAGGGGAAGAGGGAGCTTTTCTGGTACATAACGTATGATCTTTTAAAGTAAAGTTATTTCAGGACGTATTTTAAAAAGGTTGACTCGTAATAAGACTCCATTTTGAAACTCATTTTTAAACTTTTGGCGATGCAACAAAAATGCTTCTGGTTGGTTAATAGTAACCGGAAGTGCGTGGGCGAGATCGCCTGCTATGACGAGGTAGGGAAAATTCATAAAATACTACACCAGGAATGTACTTTTTTAATTTTGAATAATCGTTACAGATTCTGTTGAAAGAACCCAAAGATTTCCTGGAAAAGGTACCATATGGCGGATGTGATGTGCCTTGTATGTGTCGACTGCGCTGTGGACATTCCTGTAAACTTTCTTGTCATCCTTTTGATAAAGAGCATGAAGAATTCAAGTAAGTACGAATGGACCATGAAGCTACTATATCCATACAGGATACTTTCATTAAATTTAAGACTACCCTTAAACAACCTCAGGGCACGGCTTACTCACACATCGATCCTTGAAATCTCTGCCGGGGCCAAACAATCCACTGCCACATTACAGGTCGCACTGGAACTAATATCGTTTGGTAGAAAAAACTATCAAATCCTACCCACATGTGAATCTTAGTTAGGGAAGCTCAAGACCCTAGAAGCCGGTGAGAGGTGAGTGTATTAAATAAATAAATCACTTTTATTTAAGTGTCTAGTCGTTCTAGCTTTCGCACACTTTTCGCTCACACGCACTACCACTACATTTAATGTTTTATGCACACAACGCTCGACTCACATGTTGATTTTTACGGAGGGAGGAAACCTGAGAACCCGAAGAAAACCCTCGTAGCATAGATAGATGAGACAATGCGCCATATGGGATGGGCTCGGATATCAAATAAGAACAACACATCAGACAAACTCAATTACCACTACACCACTCTTGATTTCCCTTATTCATCCTTCACTACATTCTCGTACCCACAGCCTTAGATATTTTGATTGAGAAGGATTTGGTAGCACACAAACCGGAAGACCCAGATTCTAGATCGTCAGATATGCGCATGCTCCACTTATCCTGACTTCCGGTATAAATTTGAACCGTTTATTTCTTCAATACAAAAACAATGAAGGTTATTTATGCATTCTTTATGAAACAATTTATTTGTCTGTAATTAATGGTTTGAAAAAATAATCAATTTAGCGAGACCCTTTGGTGTGTATAGTATACTGTAAATTTGAGAGGACCAATTTGGCCCCAGAGCGCCATTTTGGCTTTTTCAAAGTAGTGCTATCTTAGCCCAGGCTAGGGCCAAAATAGAACAATGCCATTTGGGCCCTAAAGAAGTTGCATTTTGGTATGGGTCTATCAGTACTGTTTTGGCCCCTTCAACTAGGCCAAATCAGGGGGAAAATCCATATAAGGGCTAAAATAGTCCCAAAATCACAGCTAAAAAAATAGCCCCTACCGGTATAGTTCCAAAATAGCCCTATCCGATTTTTAAAATGTTTAAAGTATTCCAATATCAGATGATTATGATGAAATAGATGATTATGCAAAACATTAAAACCAATCAAATTAACGGTCAATTTGTGTGTTACCAGAGCCTTCGATCATTTTGTTAGAAAGTTGAGAAGGCTTTGAGTACGAGAATGCCCTTCACTATATCTAGTAATTTTGATAAAACTATAAAAGACTTAGAGTTTCCTGAGGGAGGATAATCCAATAAACCAATATAAAATATTATGTAAAGACTCCATTCACTCGTCCTTTTTTCACGAGTGTAGCACTTAATATAGCCAGTGGCTAACAAAGCTGTGGTTCTCATTCCATGATCGAATTGGAATTTAGGAGTTGATTTTTGGGGAGGAAGGAAAACCGGAGAACCCGGAGAAAAACCCTCGAAGCACAGGAGAGAACCAACAAACAACTCTACTCATATACAACAACGAACCCGGCGGGACTCGAGCTCGGGTGGCATTGATGAGAGGCGAGCTCAATCTCTATACTCACACAATATTCTTTTATTAGATGTCTTGAACAATGTGCAAGAACAATAAGAGGATGCGAAAATGGACACCTTTGCGAAAAGGAATGCTCGGAACCTTGTGACTTTGACTGTAACTATCCCGTCGATAAGATACTTCGATGTGGTCACACCAAGAAAAACGCACGATGTAGTGTTAACATCCAAAGGCTCGAGTGTGACGTCAGATGCGAAAAGAAACTTAAATGTGGCCACCAGTGCCAGGCGAAATGCGGCAAGTCCTGTACTAAAGCCTGTCAGGAGCTTGAGAAGCGCAATGATTGGCCTTGTGGACATGAAGTTACTATAGCTTGTTCAGCCACTCCCTTTGATTGTCCTGGTCCTTGTGGCAATCCTATCTGTGACCACATATGTTCTGGGAGTTGTGGAGAGTGTCTGCAAGGAAGAGTCCATCGACGATGCATGAAAACATGTGGTAGAGTACTTGTCTGTGGTCATGAGTGTCGCGACAAATGTACCATCACTTGTCCGCCATGCACAAACAAGTGTGAAACCAAGTGCAAACACAGTGAATGCAGAAGGAAATGCGGTGAGCCTTGCGTTTCTTGTACTGATCAGTGCGAATGGAAGTGTGAGCACTTCCAGTGTAGCAAGAAGTGTGGGGAAATCTGCGATAGGCCACGCTGCGACGAGCCGTGCCGTAAACTACTACAGTGTAAACACAGATGCCGTGGTCTGTGTAACGAACCTTGTATCTGCGTGGAGTGCGAAAAGAAAGAAATACAAATCCTCTTCGGAACTGAGGACTTTGATGATGAAACTGTGCGCTTTATTCAACTGAGGGGATGCGAACACATCTTTGAAGTGCGCGCACTTGATCATTGGATGGATATGGGAAATGATGATCAAACGGAACAAAACTCCATACAACCGAAGGTATATATATACATCTCTAATTCACGACTACAAATAATTAAGCCTTGAAAAAATTCATATGCATAAACTTTTCCTGGCATAACTGCAAATCGAGTAGCATACCAAACAAGAATAACCCTGTAGCAACCTTCAGATGATCTAAGTCAGGGCACGGCTAACTCACAGATCAAATCCTGAAACAACCAATGGTCTGATCTAAGTCAGGGCACGGCTAACTCACAGATCGAACCCTGAAACAACCACTGGGCTGATCTAAGTCAGGGCATAGCTAACTTACAGATTGAATCCTGAAACAACCACTGGGTTGATCTAAGTCAGGGCATGGCTAACTCACTTATCAAACCCTGAAACAACCTCTGGGNTCACTTATCAAACCCTGAAACAACCTCTGGGTTTATCTAAGTCAGGGCATGGCTAACTCACTTATCAAACCCTGAAACAACCTCTGGGTTTATCTGAGTCAGGGCATGGCTAACTCACAGATTAAACCCTGAAACAACCTCTGGGCTGATCTAAGTCAGGGCACGGCTAACTCACAGATAGAACCCTGAAACAACCCCTGGGCTGATCTAAGTCAGGGCATGGCTAACTCACAGATCAAACCCCGAAACAACCACTGGGCTGATTTAAGTCAGGGCATGGCTAACTCACAGATCAAACCCTGAAACAACTTCTGGGTTGATCTAAGTCAGGGCACGGCTAACGCACAGATCAAACCCTGAAACAGCCACTGGGCGGATCTAAGTCAGGGTATGGCTAACTCACAGATAGAACCCTGAAACAAATTCTGGCAATGACCTATATACAGGTAGAATTTGAGGCTTCCTTGCTTAGTTAGAAAGTTATATAATATGCAAACATCTAATGGTAATGTTATTATTCTGTTTATGTATTGATGATATTTATTTATTAATCCTAATGATTTTTATTCAGGTTTGTCCAGGTTGCAAAACGCCAATACAAACCATGATGCGTTATAATAATGTAATCAAGAAACAGCTAAAAGACATCGAGAGAGTTAAAGGAAAACTGTTTAAACCATTAAGCGAAGAACGAAGATATAAAGTGCGCAAAAAATTGACCCAGTATCTCCGTGATGCTAGCAGCAACAGCATCAGTAGTTCTGCAGGGCGAAAACGAAGACACGATGAGGTACTCTTGAAAAGGATTGATCAAGCAAGGAACCTCTTTGAAATCACTAACATTGGAAACCAGGTGGAATTGCTAACGCGGTGCCACACGCTCATCAAGAAAGCAACAGAAACCAAAGCCAAAATTGCTGATGAAAAGAGCGCAGAAATGAAGGATGTGGATTTGGGTATCTCTGTTTTAAAGTTCCTCGAAGAAAAACGCATCGTTGGTTCAGTTGAGCGGGAGATCACAGACATCGAGCTTGAACTGAAACGACAAAAGGTTGTCATTGAAATATGCAGCCTTTTAAGTAAAACAGAAAGCCTTGATATTTCACTTTCCAGTGAACACAAAACCCTGTTGGATAACATCAGGAACTCGCTGTCAAAAGCCTCTAGCAATGAAAAGCCAGAGTTGGACTCCTACTTAAAGGAAGTCGAAGAAATCCGCTCTACATATCCTATTGCTCCGCCAACACGTGAGGAGAAGGACCAAATAATCAAAGTCATGGGGCTGTCCAAAGGTCATTGGTATAAGTGTCGTCAGGGACATGTCTATGCTATTGGTGAATGTGGCGGTGCCATGGAAACGGGAACATGCCCAGAGTGTCACGATGTTATAGGAGGAGCCTCTCACAGGCTTGCAGAAGGGAATAAAGTAGCTACCGAAATGGATGGTGCTCGACATTCTGCCTGGTCTGAGCAGGCTAACATGGGAAACTATGATCTGCAAGAATAATACCACATCCTTGTATGTGACTGTTTCTTTTACAGAAAGGAATGAAGTAGCTACCGAAATGGATGGTGCTCAGTATTTTGCTTGGTCTGAGGAAGCTAACATGGAAAACTATGACCTACAAGAATAATACCACATCCTCGTATTTAATTGTTTCTTTTACAGAAGGGAATGAAGTAGCTACTGAAATGGATGGTACTCAGTATTCTGCTTGGTCTGAGCAAGCTAACATGGAAAACTATGACCTACAAGAATAATACCACATCCTTGTATTTGACTGTTTCTTTTACAGAAGGGAATGAAGTAGCTACCTGAATGGACGGTGATCGATATTCTGCTTGGTCTGAGCAGGCTAACATGGGGAACTATGATCTGCAAGAATAATACCACATCCTTGTATTTGACTGTTTCTTTTGCAGAAGGGAATGAAGTAGCGTATGTGATGAAAAACGAAGAAATGAGCTAGGAAACTTAAGTAAATAGTAAATAAATTCATATCTTATGGATATGTACACTGTATCGTACTAAAGCATAGGTTTCATATAACTGTAATCAGTGTTAATACAGTAAATAAAGTAATATTTTTATACGACTTAAGAATAGACAAAATTAGTTGTTGTTTGAAGATTGCTTTTTTGATTTTTTTTTTTAATTCTTCATCAAGATTTTCCAGATTTTTGAACCAGCAAATTTCACATTAATTTTTCCATAGTTGGTTCTTGCTTAAGGTAATGAATAATTTGACTTTGATGTAATCGTGAAGAAGTTGCGCCCAAAAAAAATTGATTGAAAATCTAGGAGATTACTATGGATGATCAATTAAACAGTTTTCATCTAAATTGCATTCTATCCCTTATATCGGCTAAATCTTAATCAGACTTTTACACCGAATGAGGGTCGACCAAATTAAATGACTATTGTTCTGCGCTGACTAGCGACTGACTAGCCTCTCATACATGTGAAAACGAGGCTAGCCAGTCGCTAGTTGCAGTGCCTGAGTGAAAATATACTGAATGTCAACAAAGTCCTAAGAATGTTTTTAAAAGTGTACTGATATTCTAGCACCCTTAGTTCACTTTTGTTCTTAAATTGGCTTCTGTTCATAAAATGTCCTTTGGAATCGCTTGGCACTTCTTAAACATAATAGGAATCGCGAAGCAAATCAGTGCAAATTTGTCTACGAACTCGACTCCCTGCGTTCTTTTCTCATCATTTCGCCAGAGGAAACCTTCAAAAGTCTAATCATAATATGTTCTAGTACTTCTACACAAGTGTATACACCATCCCCCCTCCCTCCTCATTGGTCACAATTTACATTCTTATGCTGTTATATTCACCTAAAGGTGAACATAACACACACACACACGCTCGTTTTGTCGATGTGTGCCGCTTGCAGAGTTAAATAAAATTAAAACATTTCTCTCTTCATTATTTATTAAATTCACTTGTGTTTAAAATCATTATTACACTTAACAAATAATCCTCCAATCACATCTCCGTATTTCATTCACGACTGCAAACAAATTTATTGTTATGGCACTATAGTGGTCTTTTTATTTAAATAAATATTTGTTCAATATAATAAAAAACCTATAGGATTCCTCCTCGTCCATTATGGCAGATATTTAAGTCCCGACTTCAATATTCTGTCATGTAGAGGGTTTGCACGTGACGTCACAGCGGCCATTATGGTGAACCAAAACAATGCATTTTCTATCCTCCGGGAATTGAACTCTATTTTTATGCTAATACTGTATAGAAAGTTTATATTGTTTATGGCAGCCTTCTCACGTGAGTGGAAACGCTCTATATGTAAGTAAACTCATTTTTCCGAGACATCAAATGCATCGTCTATCGACCAATCCTTACCGTCCTTATCAAACTCAGAATTTGCGCTGCAATATTTATTATGAGCAAAATGCTTTATACTTTTATTTTAGCGAAGCGAATTTTGAGACAGTTATGCATAATTGTGCATAATTAAATTGGTTGCGCAGACGTTTCAAAGTTCTTAGAATTATGATGTAAGCCATAAATAAACGATCATCCTCGGCCACCCCATCCCTTCCACCCCCCTTCCGCCTCGTGTTCGGGGTAGCGAATAACCGTCTATTTATGGCTTACATTTTTATTTATTTATTTATTTATTTAACAATTTAATGGCAATAAAAGAAAACGAAGAGAAAAGAAAGAGCCATATGGATAATCCGTAAAGGAGTCCTAGACCCCATATAGAAACAGATCACCAGGCAATAATAATAATAGATAATTCTAAGAACTTTGAAACGACTGCGCAACCAATTTATGCACAATTATGCATAACTGTCCATTGAGTCAGAAATGTCGCTTCGCTAAAAAGGTAA